GTAAATTAAAGATCAGTATGTTTCGCAGGATGCGTTAAGAATTGTTTGGTTAAACTCATTTCCGTGGGAAGTTTTACTTACCTAGGGGAGACCAAGTAAGCAACTTCCTCCACTGGATGGGATGTCAACTAAACGACATCAGGGGTTTAACCAAGACACCACATAGTTTTTTTGTGTTGTGTCCTAGAATACAATAGTAGTTTGCTAGTTGGACGGAGCATACCTGGAGTAGGCATAATCGAGGGCAGTTGGCAAGAGACGACCAAAAAACACGAATGCAGAGGCTAAGGACACCAAAGAAGATGTCCTGGCAAAGCCTCGAGACTCTGCTATTTGTCCCAAGTTGTTTAGATAAACCAGTCCCAGAGTGCCACCAGAAATGTATATGAAGAAGTACAACCAGAAATTCAGTCTCTTCAGCATCAATTTGACACCAATTTCTTCCATGGCACAAATTTCCTGCTTGACTTCAACAATGTTTTCATTCTGATCTTTGATTCGATTCTCTACATCTTGCCGATCATCTACTTCATCTGCATCAGTTGTAAGATCACATACTCGCCTTTCCCTGTTAAAATGACATTTTTCTTCCAATATATGAACAATAAATTCTGCCATAGGAATTAGCAACAGTGCTGTTAGACAGACTCCTAAACCAACCACCTTAAACCATGGCGAGGACTTCCTTGAGATCGGTCCCAAGTTACTCATTACAGCATATATTCCAGTGGCTAGTGTTATCACTAGAACACCAAAAAAGCCACGCTCAACCTTCTTAGGCTTATCATTATCAATATGCCGGAGAAAAGGCGCAGTTATGATACTAACTACTAAAGGAAAGAGGGAATTGAAAAGCATATAATCTTCTGCTTTTTTAGAAGGCTTAGAAGAAAAAGCACCAACAGCTGCAGTATAAATTACAGCACTTAATCCTAAATAGCAAGTACTCAGACCAACAGCAGCCTGCCTATGAAAGGGGAAATTTTGTATGGCAACCAGATAACAAACTGTGTTGATCCAGCAAATGCCGTTTCCTGCTAAAACTGTGAGAAAGAATATATGCCAGTATGAAAGGAAGGTAATATGGTGGGTGAGGAAAAGATACTGCAAACCATAGCCGATCAAGCCGAGAGAAGAACCAATCAAAAGAACTAGCCACAAAGGTAGGTAAATGGCAGCAATGCCAGCAAACCAACCAAAGAGCTTCCCTGCATCAGATGCAAGTGCAAGGTTGTTGAGTTGCAGTTGGGATATGGAAAGGAGTTGCTTTAGCTGAGAAGAATAAGCAGGGAAGTTAGAATTGGTTCCGTTTATCGATTGAAGCCATATAATACCCACCAAGCTTAGCCATTGAAGAGCTGTGCTTCGAGTCATGGCTATAGCTGTTGTGGCTACTGGCTAGGTGGGTTTAAATTCTTTTTTTAGACGAAAATCTATATTTCGAATGATTTTTTATCTACCTGATTCCCTTCTTTATAGGAAAGATTCAAGTACATATAAGAGAGCCCTCTTTGAGAGGGAAAGGATGTGAATGAAAGGCAAAGAGCTAGAAAGCAAGATATGTAAGTAGTTTTAATTTGGACAAAACTATATATTGTGGCTGGAAAAAATATAATGTGGATTTTTATCTACCACCACCTTCAGTTTTAATGTTGATGTACGTGCTTGATTAATGGAAAAATCATGAGTGATCGTAATATACACGCATTAACATTTGATGTGAGTACAAGCATGTACATGCATGCCATATATGATATATTATAGATGGCAACTACTTAAATTCCTTTCTTGGTTGGGGTTGGGATTATCTTATCTTGGGTTCGTGTTGGGTTAATTCTTTGCTCTTTCCAATCTTGTTCCATAACCATGAGCATGATATACGGCCCTATATTGTCCACTCGGTCTTTAGTGTGATCGGTCTATAAGTGAGACACGCAGTAAGTCACCTTGATCTATTATGAAAAATTCATCACCCTTCAACAATATAACAAGTCACCTCAGACATGTTGGATACACCGATAAAATTAGTGTCGACCTGTTACACGTACAAGAGTTTCTGCTATTAATTTCAAGCCTATCATAACATGTCTTTATCAACAAAATAGTGAGACGCCGCCCGCAAGAGTATTCAATTAGAACCACCCACACATATCATAGGGTCCCAGTAATGAAATGAGAAAATTTTATTCATGGCTAAACTTGTTGATCAAAGTAACAGAACAAACTGTAATTAATCTCATTAAGCGATAATTCTAGGCTTTTCGACGGGTCAAAATATGATTATGATTATGATTACGACTATGATGATGTAAAATTTTTGACTATGATGTAAAATTTTTTGTTACAGATTATCTCTGTTCCTGACTAGAGGGTTAGAAACAGATGTGGAGAAAAACATGGTAGTCAAGAGATAGACCAATCAATTGTCTTAATACCAAGTACAGCATTAATTGCGTTTTTAACACTGAACTAATCATGTCACTAAACTTAGACAAGTTTTCCGGAATTGTTAAGGAACTTTTTCCTCTTTAAGTCAAGGCAATTTATGTACATTTATTTATACCTAAAGTGACAGTACTACTATATCATATTCATAGGCGTTAAAAACTAAAGTATATAGAGTACAATCTTAACAAGATAACACAAGTACGAGTACATAGTTTTGAATATAGGAAACATAGAAGTAAAATGCTAGAGGTTTTAAAATTTCCGTTATTAAAAGAGGACAAAACTTATAATCTTTATGTTATTATGTTACACTCTTCTTCTACATGGTTTATTCATGTTCCGATTTATATTGCTTCTTTATAGCGTGTCACTAAATTACGGTGGCGGCCCAATAGTTTCTCATAGAATTGGCCTGCTTTATATGAAGCAATCAACTGTAACGTGCAGCAAATTAAAGCCTCTACGCAAAAATAGTGAAATGGAAATTCTTCAACAGTTAAGCATCTTTCCACTTCTAGTGTGAAAAGGAATACTTGTAATTATGCTTTGATTAATGTAATAGGACCAACTACAGATGAAAACAGTTGAAAATCATTAACCAACAAAGACGGTGTAAAATTGAGTAAAAAAAAAAAAAAAAACAGTAATATGGCTATAATTATCAGGCCGATTTATTACTTCCTCCAATTTACAATATACTCACAATAATTTAACTTTTACATTATTAATCATATGGAGTAGCAACTTTAAAAATCAAATATAATTGTATAATACTATTGTTAAATTAGTCTCAAGCTTATAATTATAATTTTTTTTTATTTATAATATTATCTTTAAAGTTATCCATTGACAAGTGTATTTGACAAACTATTATAACTTTAAACGGGAAAGCAAATTTATACTTAGTATTCATTAAAAAAGGAGTTTAGAAAGAATATTAGTCAAATCAAATGCAAGATCCCTAAATGTTAGCTGTTAGCCGACAAATTTTTTCCCACGGTATTTATTCATTCAAAGGTGATTTATTAGACCATAATTTTGTGTTCATTATATTCATGAACCTATATATTTAAAAGTTACCCCAAATCATCAATCTATACAACAATAAACGCAAAGGCCAAAAGAAAAGAAGTCTTCTTAGGACTTTATATGATGCAGCAAAGCTAGCTGAGCGAATTGTTTTAGAAGCTTTGTCCGAGTAATCAAAAGAAGAAAAAGGAAGCAACCTCTATTATTTCATAAGTAATTGCTTATCTCTTTCTTGAAACATGAACTTGATTGATAGATAAATACGGAGGATTGGACGTACAAAAAACAAACACTTGCCTTTCTTTTCACAAATGCAACAAATATTATTTGGAATTTGGCCAATGAAAATTTAATAGTCTTAGAGTTCACACCTTTGCTCTTATACCCCAAAATAGTAGGGACACACCTTAGCTCACTCAATTTTCATTTTCTTCTCTAATCTCAAGGCATGTTATAGATGCTCTGTATTTATTAATACCTCCGTTTCATATTATTTGCAACGATTAGACATTTTCTCTCTCTACTTTATGTCAAAATATTGCAAATAATATGAAACGGAGGTAGTATATAGGATATTAACTTGAATAAAAAAAAAACGACCTATCAAATATTTTAGCACGCGACCATCTCTAAAATATGAAGTATTTTGTCACAGAGATATATGAATACTAATTATTAAAACCACATAACAGAAAAAATAATTCATTAAAAAAATGAGGAGAAAGAGGAGTGTTAAATACCTAAAAAAAAAAGTTAAAGAAGAGCGTAAGTGACAAAAAAATATTGTCTAGCTTCAATTCCTTGATGTTGTATTAATTTATTTGTCGAAGCAAAATTGTTTCAAGTAATCTTCGAAGTCATAGCTTATCAAGATGTTCACTGACACATGAATCAAACATACATTAAACATATATACAAGTATTAATACTCCAACATTCTTCAATTTAACAAGCAACAAATACTATAAGCAAATTAACCTAACCAATAAATTCTTAAAAAATCAATGATAGTCTTCCCAAAATGAAAAAGTACAAGGAAAAAAAATAAGCAATGCAAAGAAGAGAAGAAGATAGATCATACATATATAGGTGCATGAACTTGATCATATCAGCTTGATGAATATTGTTGATGCTTTGCATGCAAGATTATACCGAAAGATCGAGTAAGAGTGAAGTTCTGAAGGATATGAATGCTTAGAGAAGAAGGGGACGGAGGTTAACATAGGAGATTAAGATAGTAATGGTGTTAAATGCAATGTAACTTTTATAATTACACCGTGAAATGGAGTTTATTAACGAGGTTTTGATTTTAAAGGAACATTTAAACCAAATGAATAATTATTGATGTTCAAGCCTAAATGCAAACAAATAGTACTTCTCTCTTTTTTTTTTTTTTTTAAGGAATAATAAAGTTTTAATACGAGTAATATTTTAAAATATATTTTTTTTACCTATATTGACATACATCACATTATTATGTTTAGGCTTTTATTACTCTATACTATCTATAAGTGAAAGAATATACAGAGTACTACGTAATTAGAATACACATAGCCTTGCAAAGTTACATTTTTGGTTTTTAAAAATTGGGTGACTATTGATCTTTTTTTTTTTCCCAAGAAGTATATAATAAATTGAATAAAGATAAGGAAAAAGATACCGTATATTTTAGGAGTCCCTTCATACAAAGGTACGAGTAATTTTTTAATCCAAAAACAGCTGAAAATAAACGCAAACCTATTTTATTTACGAAGGTAGACATATATAAATTCCCTCAAAAAAAAAAAAAAAAAAAAAAAAAAGTAGACATAAATAAAAAAATAAATAAAATGCCAATAAACTGTGCCGAAATTCTGGAGCTCTTTCAGAAAATTCTGGGCAAAACCCTCCCTTTAACCCTTCAATTTTATCTGAAATTTCCATCTTTTTCGCAAAATTGACGAACTTTCCATCTCAAATTCCAAATTGAAGTAGAAAAAGAGGGGAAAATGGAGTCAATTATGAAAGATGAAGTTGGAGAAAGCTCTTCAAATTCAAGGTTATCGAACGACAACAATGGCGATAATAAGGCAGTCGTTGTTAGGGTTAAGCGCAAACTTGATCAATCTCCTCTTGAAGCTTTCTGTATGTTCTCTCTCTCTCTCTTTTTTTTTTACTCCTAATTTTGAATTTGCAAAATTGAATTTGACAAAGAATATGTTTTTATAATGCAATACGATGTTAGGGCTGGAAATTAATGAGATACCTGTGAAACGACCGTTAATCGATTTTCAGAAGTTATCGATTTCTGATTCTTCTACTCAAGGTTTGTTGCAATTTTGATTTGACTGTTATAAAATTAGGTTAAATTATGGTGACTTTTATGAAATTAGGTTAAATTTTGGTGATTGCTTTACTTTGTTTTGTAATTGAATTCTGTACTTTGTTTTCTGGGAATGATTTTCCATTGGAATAGCTTGTTTAGCTTATACTTTGGTGAAATTGCAACTTTTGAGGTTGAGAATTTCACAAGTGTTTTGTAATTGAATGTTAATATGATTGTGCTTGTGGCAGAGGAATTGAAGATCAAAAGGGTCCTTGTCGAACATGTCGAAACTGTTAGCAGTGCTAAAGCTAGCATTCACTTTCTGCAATCCTTTGTGGTTAGTTTTTCTACAACTTGCTCCCCCCTCCCTCCTTGAATTTGCACCATTCGTGTTTTTTGCAGTTGTGCTCTAAATTCCTTGTTTCCATTTGGATAATTGTCATGTTGTCGCAAGTCGCAACTCCTCAGTACTAAAAAGTACTCAAATTTTAACCAAAATGTCTGTTGTAGGAAGCGAGGATATGTTGGGGCAAACAATTGAAATGACACTGCTTGTTGAATGCCCCAGAATTCTATTCACTATTCTTAATTTCGGAAGGTGGTGAATGATTATGCATCCCAAATTATTTTGGACTTGTTGCATTGTCTCTGATGGACTTACATCTAGTAGATATTGCATAAAGATTCTTGGTTTAAATTAGCCACCATTACTTTGGATCAGTGTTCTCTCCTCCTAGGATAAAATGAGATTATTATGTAGCATCTGCTGCCTCATCTGATTCATATTCTGTTTTTCACCTTTGCTTTCCTAGGAGTGTTGTCTATATGTTCCTGCTATTGTCTAAAACTCAAAATATGAATAGCTGTAACCCTATTCTTAATGATTTGTTTTCTTATCCAATTTCGCTTATGTATTTGTTCTTTATTCAGCCACCTACTCCTGATGGCGATTCCAAGTTTAAAGCAAGCACTAAAGAGAGAAGGCGCACTCTCCAGAAAGAGAATGTATGTGCTGACAACCCCCCCCCCCCTCCCCCTCCCCTTCTCTCTATTTTTACTTGTATGCATTTGTAAGGAGGTTATGTTGAAAGCACTTATCTTTTTTGTGTTTTATTTTTGAATTTTGCAGAAGCATGACCAGCTATTGTCCAAAGCAAAGCAAGAACAAGAGGTAGTGTTAGTGGGATTGCAAATCTTGCATTTCATCAGTAGGAATTTTTAATATGTTGTTCATTGGACACTATGGGTACTGTATTGTCTTTAATTTTATATGCCATCAAGTGGGTGAGCATCCATCAAGTTGCATGTTATAGCTTCTTCACTGTCTCAATGAATACAGAAGTTGTTGGCTTTACCTATTCTTTGAGCTACGAGAGAAGCATTATGTATCATAATTAGCTATACAAGCATCATAACCCTCTGTTCTTCGCCATCGACAAACACTTCCTGAATCACCTTCTAATTGATTCTTTCTTATAAGTTCTAATAATTACTATGTATTATATAGTGAAACATTGTATCGATTTTAGTTTGTTTCTATGCTGATAGTATATCCATAATTGAAACTGTTGTAAGAACTTACATTAATTTGCCGTCCATGTGATTTTGCCTCTTTTAGGAAATAGCAAGAGGTGCACGTTTTGAACAAATATGGAAGCATAGAACACACAATAAAAAGGCTATCCATGATGAGGCTTTGAATGAAGTATGTCGTGTCTATGATGTTCTTCGTGTTGACAAGGCAGAGGAGACCTCTAAAATGATAAACAAACAGGAGTAAGTTTCCTGTGTTCCATTATCAATCAACAATAAATAAATAAATATATACATAAAATGCAAAAGCTCTCTGTGCCCTTCATATAATTTTACCTGTTTAATGTTGTGTAATTAAAGGATGCTAAATTCTTTGATCGTTGCAGAGAAATGTCTGTGGAAGAGCAGGAGATCCTCAGTAAATTTTTACCTCTTTTAAGGGAGTGTGTTCCTGGTGCTGCTGAAGAGATCGAATCTGACATTGTTTCTTCTGCTTCCAGACATGGTTTGTTTGTACATTTTCTTTTGTTATAGTCCTTATAGATTTCAAGTTGCTTTATTTGCTGTTATGCCATATGTTAGAAGATATTAGACAGAGGGGATGGCTTTACAATTCAGTTGTGAAGTTTTTGTTTATCTTGTTGGCTGTGTGATGGAATTTATTTTGTTAGCTGTGTGACTAAGCTGGAATTTATCTTGTTATCTGTGACTGAGCTGGAATTTATCTTGTTATCTGTATGACTAAGCTAAAATTCATTACTAAAATTCTTCTGTGAGAATATTTTGTAGCTGTAATTCTTTTGTAGTAGTAATCTTGGTGTAAGCCAAAAGATGAATTCATTACTATACAATTTTACGTAATTACGTATACTCTTTGCAGATTCAGCTGAAGAATACGTGTACGACCTGTATACAGTCAAGGAACAGATAGATGAAACAGAGGCATCTTATCCATTTCCTTTGTATGGAACTTTACTTATGTTCTTAATACATCATTCAACATTTTATTTTCCCTGGTTTTGCTTATGAACAATTCCTTGATCAGGGTCCAAGTTGATGATGATGATGATCACTATGATGGTCCTGATTATTCGGACTATGAAACTGATGATTCCAATGGTAATCGCTTCCATCTCTTCTCTGCCATAAATCTATTGATTCCAATGGTAATCGCTTACAGGGTACTGACACAAAATGTTTTTCATACTGGGTGACAGCTGAGGACCATCCTGCTAACGATTATCCAGAAGAGGAGTCTTCAGATGAGGAGAAGAGTTCGAAATCTGGTAGTGACTCAGAAGAGGAAAGCGAAGCAGAGAGTGATATGTCGGAAAAATCTGAGGACTCAATAGGATTTGACCAAGCAGAAGATCCACTATACGAAGATGAAATGAACGAATCCCATGACAACGCTGACTCTTATGATGATGGTGACGATGAAGACTGGAGATGAGCACATCGTTGAGTTGTTGGCTTACATTACCTTTTACTAACTTATATTCTCAACGTAATGACACGCTTGTAAATTTGGTGCATATTTTGCTATCTGCTAAAAGTGTAGGAAAACGGGTGGTGTTTGCCGGTTGGTAATGTGTGAACAATTTTGACAACATTGATAGCTAATTGTTTAGAACTTTCCAGGAATGAAGTTAAGTATTCCAGTCTGATTATCAAATTTGTTTGTCTCAAACCTTACCTTATACGGAGTAATAAGATAGAATATTCTATTTACCTTAATCAAATTGGAGTTTTGCAGTGATTTTATTTTTGTAAAAGAAATTGAAAAAAAAGGAAAATAAGTATACGTATAAAAAACGCTAGTTAAAGAAAAAAGGCAGATTCTTTTTCCACAATTCAACCTGGACGATGACAATGATGATGATCTGAGGAAAAAAAAACGTCAAACCTTTGGATTTTTAATTTTTTTGATTAAAATTAAAAATCTGAAGGATGACCAATTCGAGTTTGAGTTCAGAGGAGAGAGAAAATGAAGAGGTAGTAGTCGAAGTTCATCAAGGAATTCCACAAATACCCATAGATCTATTCGTCAAGAAAAATCGAAAAGGCCTACGCTTTTTCGACGCTTTTGGTAATCTACGCTACAAAGTTAGCGACGCTTCTCCACTTTCACCAAAGCATAACCATGGTTTACGGGGGCGTGTCCTATTGGATTCTTCCGGCAATTCTCTCGTCTCTATTTTCCGGTGTCATGTCAGTTTCTCTCTCCTCCTTTCTTTGGAATCTTGCGTTTTAATCGATTATTATTGTATTGTGATATCTGGGTTTAATTCTTGGTGTCAATTTGTTGATGATTCAATCCCTGGTTTTGCAACCACCTCCAAGACTTTCTCATAGCCTTAGTTAGGAAAATTATCCAGGTTTTAGAATCTTTAGTTTACAAGACAGGATAATTCTGCAATGTGTTGTTGTGATTACAAAACTATTGATTTGGTGACAGATCAATTCTGCAACAATTTGGGGCGCTGTGTTTGGTAATTGATCTTGCAGATTATGTATAAGCAGTAATTGACTTATGGTTTATATATGTAGGATGGGTCGTGGAAAGGCTTCAAGGGTGATAGTTGTGAGGAATTACTTTTCAAGGCGGAACAGACGCTGATTACATTTAATAAGATAGAATTCAGTGTAAATGTTGCTAGAGATGATGGCGCAAACTTAACTTTTGCGATCAGAGGTTGCGTTTTCTGGAGAACTTGCACCATTTATCAGGACAAATTCATAGTAGCTCAGGTATGGTACTCGACGCTAGCATGAACAGCCCGTCCACAACCCTGGCTAATGTGCAGGTTTATCTTTCGGTTATCAAATTGCTTACTTTACCATCGTTTCTTGTGAGTATGACTTGAGTTTTCATTGGATGCAGACAAATCTTATGTACAAGCTTGGTTTTAGGAAGCATTTCGTGGGGAGGAGTAAATTCAGAGTAACCATTTTTCCTGGATACAGCGATTATAACTTCATTGCTTCGTTGATTTTAGTATTTTTGGATGGACGAAAACAATGAGTTTCATTTTTTAGGCAACTTGATGAAGAAATTTGATAATTGTGATTACATTAGCCTTCGCAAATATTGTTGCTACTCATTGTGGCATGCAAAGCATTCCATTCAATTGAAACAATTTAAAAACTTTTTCTCCATCTCAGTGCTACCCTGCTATTGTTTTCAGACTGATGTATATTATGTACCTGTGCAACTGACATTTAAAGTTATACGAAGTGATTCCTCGAGTCGATTCGATCTGTTGTGAATATGTGATCCTGTGACTTAATGGAGAAGGCAAATAGGATACCAAAAAATAGGGCAAGTGCAGGATTAAACTGTTATGATTGGCGAGATTTCCAAACAACTAAACGACCAAAAACCATTTCTATCATCAATTGCATAGTGTTTACAAAACCTAAGTGCCTTGAAAACAAGGCCAGTGGAGTTCTCCATCATTCTTCAAAACCCCCAAAAGAAAGGAGGGGAGACATAAATATACTATGAGGGGGGAAGACTAACCAAAAAAGAATCTGCTATTACTCCATGGTGTGTTTACAAGGAAACAACAGGACCTTATTCCTGGTGATAGCAATCAAAATTGCAAGGTACACAGTATAACGCCAACTTGAATTTTTAGCTGAATAGCTGAACCGAGGACAGGATTGTACATATTCACCACATTAGGGGTGATAGCCATCTCATCTCTGATCCATTTCCATTTGCAAGATAATACATCTTCTTCCACTTCTCTTCAGTGAACACTTCTCGACGGATAAGCCTTTGCCTACATTTGCAAAATTGTTAAAGCTCAAAATAGAAAGCCATTAAGCTCTTCACAATCAGCCATGAGAACAACAAAAACAAATTACAGTATAAAACAAATGATAAATAGATACAGAAAACCAGCATAGGCAGCAATAAAAGACCAAGTGGAAATATCAGCGAGGGGAGCTAGTTACAATAGACACATTTAAATAGAATGACAGCAGCAATTCATAAACTTCAACATCCTGCATATAGGCAGAACAATAATGACGCATATTCTCCATCCCAAGTGAGGCAACCAACATGGCCTCGAACATATAAAATCCAATCTACGAAGTACCAACTTTCCTTCTCCCAGTTTATAGCAAAAGTTACTTCCAGTATGCACATTTGCAGAGGGGTTGAAGTGCACACCACAAAAGAAGAAAAGATGCAAAATTATCAAGGATAACTACATCAGTAACACCATAAACCTTTAAATTCATATTATGATGATTGGAGACAGCGCAATATGATCAGCAAAGTTACATTATGTGGCAATTATCTGAAGGCATACCTAACGTAATAATGGCAAACAGCTGCAGCTTCATCCAGAGTGTATCGAGGAAAATCAATACGAGCATTATCTGGTACACCAGGCAAGTCTTTACGCAACTTCCCCACTGCTGTAGAGTGCGAGAATGCACCAACCATCATGTCATCATGTGTCATGGGCCTGAATGCATTTACCTGCACACAAAGGATTCAACGATGAATCAACAAAAAGCTTCTAATTGTACAATTTTACCAAATTTGCAGTACAATTATAAGAAATTATCATGAGCCACTTCATACACGTGTACTTTAGCTTAAATCTGTGTGTGTGTGTGTGTGTGTGTGTGTGTGTGTGTGTGAGTGTGTGTGTGTGTGTGTGTGTGTGTGAGTGTGAGTGTGAGTGAGTGAGAGAGAGAGAGAGACAGAGAGTTCTCACCGTTGCAAGTTCTTTAGCATGAATTGGTCTGGAAGAACGGGGTGTAACAACCTCTTCAAATTCACTAAAAGTAAACCAATTGTTGTACTGCAAAAGCCAGCAAAATAAGCAGAATTTATAAGCTTAGCTGAAGCCGAATCTGTATCCATATTAAGTTGATAGGAAGTTAACCAAGAGTTGGCATAGAGACAACTAAAGCTGCAATATAAACTTACTTGGTCAATTGCAAGAAGCACAGGAACATCTTTAACCAGGGATAACTCCTTCCGTAAGCGGACTAGCACTCCAACAGCAGCATGTGTATGAGTAACTCCAGTCTGGATTAGATCATATAAAGTTGAACCATCTGGCATCGCCATGGAATCTGCTCCCTTCATAAATCCCACACCAGCGCCTTCTCCCAGAGGAATAGGTTCAGATATATGACAAGGGAGTTGACGTAAGCAAGTTTCATTAAATTTGAGAAAGTCCTATAAAGCAAGAGGAATGAAACATTAGTAAATATTATAACGAAATAATGGAACAGACCATGCATCAACTTAATAATTTCATTGTTAGTTGAAAAGGCACCAAAGATGGAAACTTATTTTTTGTGAAGTAGGGAAATATATCTGTGTTACTGTTCAAATGTGCCACGTATTCAATTAACATCCTCTCAACCTTGGAGACATCTTAATGATTTAGTCAACTTGGTACAACCTCACTGTGAATCACAAGAGTTAAAGACAGTGATTGGGACTTGCCTTCAGAATATTTTCAGCCTGAACAGGGGAATCCCAAAGACCGGTTTGTGGATTTTTATAGAAAAATCCACCATGAGTCCAATCACGACCTTTGGGGGAATAAAAGACCAGCCAACCTTCATCACGAGCCCAATGAGCAAGCATTGCAAGTGCAATACTTTTACCACAGCTACGAGGACCATCCAAGACAATCTGTTTTCTAGGTTTTGGTGCTGAAAATATATACACAATCCATGTACAACAATTGAGTTAGGAATTCAGAACGCAAACCATATATGAACAATTCCATACACATGGTAGAAAGGAACATTGTGTTACAGTATTAGTTTCTTCCAAAACAACAAAGCTAAACTTCCTACCCCCTCTCTTCAACAATTATGGTTGGCTACACAAATGATTTTTCAAAATCCTCATAAACTGTAAAAGATTAAATCAGATCAGCTCTTACGCTGCTAGTAGTCCAAGAACGCCTAAATAATTCATTAACTAACCAATTTTAATCAAGAATTGACAAGGCAATGACCATGTGATCCAATACACTATATGATGTAAATAATCATCGGCGTAGTAAACTTCCATGAAAGATGTATAATAGTAGAATAATTTCAAACTCCTCAGTTTCAGCTCACAGCAATCAGGTAGAACTCAAAGTCAAAAGTCATGACAAACAACAAAGGCATTGTGATGAATGAACGATTACAAATACACAGTGGCTCCACACATTGTTTGAGCCATCAAAAATATAGCGAAAGCAAAACAACATCAAGTCTCATTCTCATGGAATTTGCTATGATTGGAATATCCTTGTATGCTCAATTATCTAAAAATTCCATTCTTGAGATACATAATAAATGTTCAACGCGTTCACAATCGCTTGATCAATCCCAAAACACTCACATTTGACCCTAACATAACTCATAACATAGAACATTGAAAAAACAGCTAGATAGCAGAATCAAATAGAAACATAATAAGCTAAAATTTTAGGGTTTAGGGTTTTAGGAATGAAATTCAGCACCTTTAGCAGAAGAAGACCAAGTAGGAGGATCAACAATCCGCCTAAAATTATCACGAAGATCCAAAAAACTCTGCCGAACAAGCAAAGCGCATCGTTTTGTATCCTCAAACTCCTTCAACATCCCACTCGGCAATCCCTCCGGCAACGCCGCATTCAAATCCTCAATCCTTCAAATTCAACCCAAAAAATCAAAATCAAAACCAAATTCAAATTCATATCAATTTCAATTCCAAACAAAAAGAAGAAGAAAAGCAAAAAAAAAAAAAAAAAAAAAAAAAAAACCTGAATTTCATGTAAGAGCAAGTATCTTTCCGAGAGAGTTGAGAAAGAGAAGAAGTGGAAGTGAAGAGAGGGAGACCATTGGGACCCACATCAAGGGACCTATCCTTGTCATCCTCAGCCAACGACCTTAACCGAAGCTGTTCACCTTCCACGTCAGCATCGAGCTCAGCCGAGGAACCGCCTCCGACATCATCGGACTTTCCGTCGCCTTTGAACTTCTTCTTTGCTTTAGCGAGTGTAGATTTCGAGGGTTTTGCCGAGAAATGTCGGGAAAAGTCGGTGGTGTTGGTTGATAATGCGGCGGTGATTGGAGTGAGAGTGGATGAATTACGGTGGCGCGTGGATGTAACAGCGGTGGTTAGAAATCGCCGCCACATTTGGCCGTCGGAAGTTGGGATGTCTGCTGTTGAAATGGGGGTTCAGGAAATGAGTTCCTAAACTTACGAAGAGGAGGTGCAGTGGTTGAGCTTCATTTTTTGGGCCTAATTAATTGGGCTAATATCTAAACAATTGGGCCTTCAATGACATTGTTAAAGTTACCCATTCTACTGGACTAATCCACCATCATGGTCCATGGTCTATGGGGGAAAATTAAATATGAGTAACGTCTTATTAGGGCATGTTCTGATTGACTGAAGTGAGCTAAACTGAACTAAACTGAGCTAAGCTGAGCTGAGCTGAATTGAATATTTTATGAGAAAAGGAAATTAAGAACTGAAATGAAGTAATGAACTGAGCTTATTGGAATTGAACTGAACTGAAAATAATCTGAAAAGAGCAGACCCTTAGTCAGATTGGTATAAAAAGAACGCATTCGTGATCTGTTTAGTATATCGTATAAATAATTATGAAATAAACACATTTGTAATCCGTCTATTATTCCGACTTGTACTTAAGTTGATTTTTGTGTTGAAAGAATTTATTAAAAGACCTACAGTTTATAAGCCTATATAGAAATGGGTTTTTACAAAATATAATGCTAGTTATTCATTATCCATAATTATTTTGTTTATGTGTCAAAATGAAAATATACTCCGTAATATTATTTTGGTTTCATCTAGTCAAGATATTGTGATTGTGATTGTTATCATATGCTGGTTAATTGGTTATAGGCTAGTATTGTTGGGGAATTTGTGTTTGAACAAGGGTCACAAAAAATAGCAAACAAATTAAACCAGAAAATCTTCGAGGCGTGAACGGAATCACTTTCCCAAAAGTATAATTCCGACCCTATACTACAACCGGGTTTTCACGGAAATTTACTTAGGAGATACAACGAAGGACAATTGTAATCACAAGTAGGATGATTACAATTCAATGTATAAAAGCTTGTGTAATTATGATGATGATAATTAAAATTGCAAAGTAAGGTTTTTTAAGAAATACAAAATCTGAATATTTTTCTCAAGTATATATTCAACATATGTTCCAAGAACATATATATATCAAAGCAACAAATACTCCAACAGCCCACAAGTGTAACCGTCAAAAACCAAGGAAGAGAAGGAAAAAACTGTCAGCCATACACGGCAGGTCTGACACGCGCCCGATCGGGCCAACTGGAACGTCAGAATTCAAGTTCTCTCGCGCCCGATCGGGCGGCAGCCCCAAATTCCAGAATACGATTTTCGACAAAATAGCATCCTTCTCGCGCCCAATCTGGCGGTGGCTGCCCGATCGGGCGGTGGAGAGGAAGATTTTCAAGCCACCCTCGCGCCCGGTCGGGCGAGCACCACCCTGACCGGGCAACAAAACAGGGCAGCAGCTTCGTCTTCCATAAACAAAGTTTCTCGTTGCCGAGAGCTCTAAGCTTCCTTCAATGTATTAATTGCTATAATATTCTTTATTAATTAAATACAACACCTTTGCCTAAGTAATATAATTAATTAACATGAATTATGTCCCCAATTCTCAAAATTATTCAACAAGTATCTTAGTTATTGTAATGCTTATGATAATAAGGAAAATTCGTAACAATGTGACTTAGAGCTAAACAATTTAGTGTTATTGACCATATTACTTTGGATTGAAGAACGGAATCTTTAAAGAACGTGAACCAAAAAAATTAAAAATATTCACTAAATTGTTTATATATAAAAAAAAAATGGATTTTGGTCATTTTCTTTCATTCAACTCTAAAAAGTTTTCTCAAAGACCAAACTCTATGTAGGTTAGTTATAGCAAAATTTAACACCTCAAGGCCAAAGTGGTTTGGTCAAATTCTTTATTTCCACTAATAAGATCATATACAGTTTTACTATCCACGTACATTGCACCTACATATATAGTACATAGTCCTTATAATTTACGACTACTTAACAACCAAAATGCAGAAACTTCTAAATTATGCGATCTTATCTATTTTAGGCATGGCTGCTAGGGGTGGATCTATTAAGGTGCACGGTGAGTCACGTGACTCGCCAGCATAAAAAAAAATAAAAAATAAAAATAAAAAAAATCTAATAGACCGCCTATTTCAGATATGCGGTCTCTTTGTCGCTTCTATTTGAGATTAGCCCACTGTCAGTTTTTTAAATATCAAAGAGACCGCCTATTAAAATATCAGATAGGTGGTCTCTTTGTTGCTGCTATTGCCACCACGTCATTAGAGACTTGTTATCTAGATAACATGTCTCTTTTTTCAGCCATTGAATTAGAATAATTTTTTGCGTTGCTTTCGTATTTCATTAAAGAGACCTGTTATATTTAATAACCGGTCTCTTAAGTTATCTAACTTTTTTTTTAAAAATAATTCTTGTTTTTAAGTAAAAAAATCATGAAGTTAGTTTAATGTAATAGTTTTATAGTATGTATTTTTATATTCTATTTTTGGATTGTAATCATTTTGGTGAAATATAATTTTTTTATATAATTTTTGGATTGAAACAAGTGATCAATTATTGATGGTGACTCATAAGTTCGAAAATCCTGGATCCGCCAGCAGACCTATTCATATTTCATATGCACAGTGGTGTACGACACTCACCAGTAAAAAAAATATTAATGTGTTAGTTTTTTTTTTTTAAAAAAAGAAAAAAATATCAAAGAGATCGCTTATTAATTTATTATAGATAGCCGGGCTCTTTGAAGCTGATATTGCATTTTAAAGAGTGCGCTACGCTCAATGTTTTTTTAAAAATTAAAAAAAATCAAAGAGCGAGACTGTTTTTACAATAACTAGTCTCTTTGATGCTACTACGGAGTATTTCATTTCACGAGTTTTGCACTGCTTTCTTTTAAAAATAAAGAGACCAGTTATTACACCGATAATAATTAAAATCGGTCTCTTACGTTATTTAACTTTTCTTAAAAAATAATTTTTGCTTCTATTTATATCCTATATGTGTGCAACCAATTTTAATAATATTAAGCTTATCAATTAAGTAAATTATCATAAAGATAATGTAATAGTTTTATAGTACCATTTGTTTGTAACATGTTATTTGTAGTACTTTCGGTTTATAAGAATGAATTTTTAAGTACTAGCTATTTGATTGTTGTATGGACTTTTGTATCCTTCCTTCCTTTTTTTTTATTTTTTTTTATTGAAATCAATTTGGTGTTTTTTTTATTTATATATAATTTTTGGATTGAAATTAAGTATGAACAACACTAACAACCATACTAGCTAACATACTTATAATGTCAATTAGTTAACTAGCTAACATGTTACACTACAAGAACAAGGTTAAATAGCGACGGAAATTTTCCCTTGCAAAAAGGCCAAATTCCGTCGCAAATAGCATTTCCGACGGAATTCCGTCGTAACTGTCCGTCGCAAAACGTTTCGTAGGAAAAAAAAGAATTTCCGAGGGAAATTCCGTCGCAAATGTCTTTTGCGACGGAAATACCGACGGAATAACATCCGTCGCAAGAAAATCTGACTTTCTTTGAGCCAGTCACACAACACTTTTCTTTGAGCCTTATCAAGAGCAAATGGGGCTTTTGGCATGTACTCTTTTCCCCTACCGTCCTCCTGCAGATGAAATTGTGGCCTTTTACAATATTTAGCTATGTCATTTCGAGCCGATGGCGTGTCACATGTCTGTTTTTTCACATCCATAATGGTGTGGATTAACTGATCAAAGAAGTTCTTTTCAATGTGCATGACATCCAAGTTGTGACGGATGAGCAGATGCTTCCAATAAGGAAGCTCCCACAACGAGGATTGCTTGAACCACCCTTTTTTTGCTCTTTTGAGATGTTTCAATGCCTCCGGCCCATCAGTTGCCCTTGGAAGGTGTCTCACACATTCCACAATTCCTCACCTGACGTGATGTGTGGCGGTGAACCTTTTTCGACTTTGTTTTTACAAAAAGCAGTTTTACTATTTCGAAAAGGGTGATCTGTTGGAAGGAATTGGCGATGGCAATCAAACCAATAAACTTTGCCACCGTGTTCAAGCCAGAATGTTTTGCTTTTATCCATACAATAAGGACAAGCCTTCTTACCCGCTGTGGTCCAACCAGACAACATATCGTAAGTTGGGAAGTCACTAACAGTCCAAAGGATGGCTGCTCGAAGATTCAAATTTTGTTTCCTCGAAATGTCATAAGTATTTGCGCCTACTTCCCATAATTGTTTCAACTCTTGTACCAACGGTTGCATATACACATCCAAATTGCCCTTAGGGTTCTTAGGACCAGGAACGAGCAACGAAAGGAACATGAATTGTCTTTTCATACACATTGAAGGAGGCAAGTTATAAGGGGTCAAAATGACAGGCCAACAGGAATATTGTCCCCCAAACTTACCATGCGGAGCAAAACCATCTGTACACAAGCCAAGTCGAACATTACGAGGCTCATTGGAAAATTCAGGAAAGCATCTATCGAGGTGTTTCCAAGCTTCACCATCACTAGGGTGTGCCATTGTGCCTTGAACTCGAGGATTTTTCGAATGCCATGTCATTTCCTCCGATATGTTCTTGGTTGCATAGAGCCTTTGTAATCTCGGTGTGATCGGAAAATAAATTAAAACATTCAAAGGCACTAAACTACCTTTAGAAGTCTTTTTGTATCGGTCGCTACCACACACCCTACATGTAGATAGCTGAACATCATCCTTCCAAAACAGCATACATCCTTTCGGACATGCATGAATCTTTTCATGAGGCAACTCCAACCCCTTCACAATCTTCTTCACCTCATAGAATGTGTTGGCCATATTGTTATTGTTAGGAATCGCCTAATTGACCAAAGAAGCAAACCCGTCAACACATCTATGGGGTAAATTATACTCACACTTAAGACTAGTAATTCGAGCAGCCATCTGTAACACAGACAATGAACTTCCTTCGTATAATGGTCTTTCGGAAGCCTTTAACAAATCTAGGAAATGCTTAGCTTGTGCATTAGGCTCCTCCTCTGCCTCTTCTGAATGCCCTTGATCTTCATTATGACCAAAAGCATCGAAAACCATTTCACGGTATTCATTTGACGG